CGGTGCAACGGGGGGGGGGGGGCAAGGGGGAGGGGAAATCTCAGCCTGCCAAGGGCAAACCCGATGTGGGGACACCCCATCCGTCGTCCCCTGAAGGCCCCTCTCTGCAAAGCCCCCAGGGCCCTTGGGGGAGAGGACAGACTCTCCTGCGCCCACAGCCCCGGTGGCACCTGCGTCTTCAGGAAGGGCCGTGGGGCCCAGGATGGTGGCACCCGGGAGCCCAGACTTGGGCAGACCCTGAGCAGATCCAGGGGGCTTTGCATGGCAGTCAATGGCCGGGTGATTCACCCTCCAGGACGCGGGCACAGCCTGCCCTCTCTTGGCACAGACACCCTGCCAGGGACCTTCCAAGCACCGGAGCAGGCCGCCCCCACAGCTCACCGCTGGGTGCAGGCAGGGCTGAGAGAAGGGGAAGGGGTCTCTAGCGCCTGCAGGAGAGGGCACGAACGAGGCCTCCTCCTCCTCTCCCTCCCCCAGGAGGTGCAAGGAGAGGGGGGGGGGGCTGCTGGTGCACCAGACAGAGCAATTCCCTCCACTGGGGTGTCCAACTGTGGCAAAGACTCCTAAACTTCAACTCCCAGAATTCCCCAGGCCCGTCTCTTCTGCTGCCTCTGTGGAACAGCAAGGCGGGGTGACGGAGGCTGGCTGGGGAATTCGGTCAGTTGACGTCCACAGGCCTTAAAAGTTGCCACGGCTGGGCACCCTTTGCCCTGCGCGGAGAGCCCACGCAGCGCCTGTCCGTGTCCAAGGCAGAGGAACGGCTGCTGCGGCTGCTAAAGAGGGAAGAGGGACAGTCAACCCCCCCTCCAACCCTGAGTGTGACTCCCCCCCCACAGGCAGCCCACTCCGGAAACAAGTAACGGCGGCCTCTCCCTATTTTAAGATTCTCCAGGAGTGGCTCTTTCACGGGGCAGCACAAGAGAGAGGCCAGCCGGCAACGTAAGTCAGATTTCTCCTCCCTCGGATGGAGAGGCGCCCTCTGCTCCAAACATTGGACCCCCCCCCCCGGCCCCAATTTGGCCTCCGGCACTCCAGTCCACCCCTGCCTGCAGTTGTGCCGGACGTCAGCTGAGTGGGCTGCCAGCATCTCCATCCCCGAGAGCAAAAGCGGCCTTCGTGGCTTCCTGGCACTTGGCGCGACCTGCCAGAGTGCCAATTTGCAGCCAATTACCCCGGCCTCCCTCCTCTGCAGAACATGGGATCCTGCTGGTTTGGCAGCGCCCCCCCCTCCCTCCCTCCCCCGGAGGGGGGCTCCTTCCAGATACGGTTCTGCTCCTTTTATGTCCAGCAGGAAAGCGATTCCAGGGAAAGAGGAGGATTTCTGGCGGGCAAAATCCCCATCCTTTGATCGAGCAACTTCCCCCCCCCTCCCCTGCCAAAAAGAGGAATGAAAAGGACCCTCCAGGGAGGCTCTCCCCCATTTGTGGCCAAAGCATCCGTGCCGGAACCCGGCCTGCCTTGAGGGAGGAAGGAAGGAAGGAGGAAGGGAGGCAACAGAAGTTGAATCGGCTGCTCTTTTTCCTCCCTTTTCAGCTGCTCCTTTGTGGCTCCACCGGCAGAAGAACTGGGACACTCCCCCCCCCCAAGCACACACTTATCTGCCCCCCCCCCCAACAGATTCCTTCCAGAGGAAGGGGCAGAGAAGTCCCCCCCCTCCACTGCCCCCAGCCTTCCTGTCTCATGCAGCTCCCTCATCCCCTTTGGGAACTGGGCTGGGGGGGTCTGTGTGCGTCTCAGTGGGGAATGGGCTCCTGGCTCCTCCGACAGGCCAAGGCCCCCCCCGCGGTCTCTGTCCGGATCAGCCATGCCCCCAGAAGCTGGCACATGCCAACCCTCCCCAAACACGCCAAGCCTCAGCCAAAGCAACTCAAGAGGGGGGGCATGCATGCAAGGACGACACACACCGGACTCGGTCAGAAACACACAAAGGAGAATCAATAACCTGAAGGTCTCCTCTACTTCTTTCTGCAAGAAAGGGGGGTGGGTGGGGGGTGGGGGGGGAAGCAAGAGAGGGAAGGAGAGGAAACATGGTTAGTGGAAGATGTCTCGCTTACGGACGAAGCCTGGCCAGCGGAGCAGACTTGCACAGCCACCTTGCCCCCCACCCACGGTCCCCCTCTGGGCAGGGAGAGGCAGCGGCCAGGGAGGCCGAGAGGGGCCGCCTCCCAGGGGTCTTTGAGGCAGCTTCTCTTGGCCCTTCAGCACCAGCCAGCACAAAACAGCTTCGCCGCTTGTGGCCGACAAGCCAGGCGGGACCCTCCTCCCGAGAGGCTTCCCCTCCAGACACTCCTGGCACTGGACCAAGGACCCCACCCAAGTCTCCCCCTGGACCCCAACAGCAACTGCGGGCTGGAGGAAGCCCCGAGCGAGGCTGACGGGGGGCTCACCGCAGGAGGGAAGTCTCCAGGGAGGCTGGGGTTGCGGTAAATATGGCAACCTTATGACTTGTGGACTTCAACTCCCAGAATTCATGGGCCAGCATGGAGTGGAAGCCCACTGGCCATCAAGTTGCTCTAGTTGCCCATCCCTGGTTTAGGTTCGGATACCGTAAATCCTTGTCTTGCGCCTAAGATCACACAACTCCCCCTCCCCCCCAGCATTCTGGAAGGGTCCGAAACTGAGGTTAATGGGTGTCGCGGTCTGATGGCAGGTTATGGATTGGGTTGTGAACGGATGTTCTGGCTGCTGCCCTTCCCGTCCCTCTGGTGGCTCAGTGCCCATTTTCACAAACTGACTGATTTGATTTTGGTGCCACCTGGCTCCAGACTGGCTCGAGGAGGAGGGGGGAACGGGGGCTGCATCATAAAATAAAGCCGCCGAAACCGACCTCCAAGTGAGATGCTTGAAGAAGAAACGTTGTCAAACCACAACAAATCCATGCAAAACTCTGGTTTTCCCTGCAGAGATCCTGGGCTTTGGCCAAAGGGCCCGTTGGAATAGCAATAGCAATAGCAGCTAGACTTATATACCGCTTCATAGGGCTTTCAGCCCTTTCTAAGCGGTTTAC